AAACTCTTCAGTTTTGTCCAACTTACAAATGCACATGAAAAAGTGAAAAGACACTTACATTTGACAAAGGGATGTTTGCAGATGGAAGCAGACTTTTAAGACGTGACCACACGCAAACAATTCAGCAACTACCTGGTTTGAAAACACCTGAGTGGTTTTTCTTTTCTTTTTTTCGTTTTTTTTCCCCTTCTTCTTCGTCTTCTTCGTCTTCTTCCTTCTCTTCTCATCTTAATGGTGGGTTGCAAACCAGCAGACTTGGGTGCATGCTGCCACCTACTGCACCAGAATATATCACAGCAGGGTTTTATGTACATCGGGATTAAATTTTTTTTATTTTTTATTTATTTATTACTTTCTAATGCATTTCTTTGAGAAAAGTAAATAGAGCCTTGCAGCATTTAACCTAAATCACACAAAAATATTTGTAATTGTTAGATCCTTTTGACTGGTGAACACCCCAGCCTTTAATATTTAATTCCCAGTTTATAATGCAACTTCAGCTTGGAACACTGATATGAACAAGCCTCAAGGGAAAAGTACGAGAAATTTAGGACAAGAATACGAAAGCCATTCTCTAACTCCAACGTCACCCTGCTAGTACTGCAGCTCAGGGCAGTTAGAGCTGGACCACAGGATGAGGTAAAGAGCAAATCACTGTCTTCTACCTGAGCTCTAGACAACACAACATTTAGCTACACGGTGACTAAACACTCCAACAATTTGGTAATTAGCATCTCATTAAATTATATTGGTTTTTCCACTGAGCTGTTCAACTGCATTCCTCACTGGTAGTTAACACAAAAACTAATGAGATGAGCATGGCGTGTAAAATGAGTTCAGTGTCTTGCCCAAGGACACTTCGACATGTGGACTGCAGGTACCGTAGTTTGAACCTCCGGTTAGGAGGTCATTGCTCTATCCACTGAACCACAGTCGCCCCCAAACATGTTGGCAAACATGCATGCATGCAATATATGGAAAATGATTGCCTAAGAAATCAGTCCAACACCAAGAAGACTCACTAGACTCAACAACAAAATAATCATGCAAACTCAAGTTATAGGCCAAATGGTGAACAAGCGGTCACTGAAAAACAGTCTCATCCAGGCAGGGATTTGCACTCTGGATGCCCTCGGAGGTGTCAGCACAAGCTGTTAAGCCACATCTGTGAATGTTACATATTTGAGTATTTGTGTATGGCTGAGTGTTTAGAAACCGATATCAAACATCTGCATATAAGTGTGTGAGAGTTTGTAAGCTGATATCACCACTCTGAACTTGTGAAGGAGACCCTCAGGTACAGATGGGGCGACTGCGGTTTTACTAGCTGTAAGTGTTTGATGTTATAGGCCTCCTCACTGCTACATGTGTGTGTCTGAGGTGATAATGAAACAACCAGAGTCCTGTGTGCCAGCATCCCCTCTGGTTATTTTCCGTCACATCTGGTGAATGAGATGCACTTTGACCTCATCCATGTTCAAAGCTTCCTTAAGCACACACACGCAGTGAATGCACCCATGTATGTTGGCTGTAAACAAAATATTTTTAGAAGTTGCATGTATTTCATCTATAAATCTGATTAACATCGGAGTGATGTGAGGCAAAAAGATGAGGAGGAGAAAGAAGAGGTTGAAGATGTAGAGATATATGGGATTCAAGATGTTAATATTTTTCATAAAACAATACAAAAAAAAGAAACAAAACATTAATGACTTATAGGCCGTTACACAAACTGAATTATGACAGGACAAAATCACTATGTAAAGATACATTTTTAACATTTCACTAATGATGTCCTCAGTATTTTATGTTATCTCAAATGTATTAAAAAGATTATGGGTCCTAAAATCAGGACACGTGGCACACCACAGCTACTATTTACAGTTTCAATGCAGTTTGATCAAGAACACTGAGGCCAGGTCTTTTGGATTGTCTTGATATGAAATTGTCCTTGAACACAAAAAACAGCTTGCATTGATTTTGTATTAACTTTAGTCACTAGTTACTTTTCAAAATCAGATTAATAATATAACATACAACTTTTGCAACTGTTGATAACAGAAGAAGGGCACATAGTCTAACAGGAGTATTTGAGAAAATAAAAACTTCAAATCTTGTGAAGTCCCTAATATGCCTGTCTAATAATTTCCACCTGCTCAGCAGTTCAATGGCACAGACACACACTCAAACAGCGCCAAACCGAGATTAATTATTTAAATCTTCTGACACAATACAGGGACTGAACTGTGAACTGGTCTTATGTGCTTTTCAGACACTTGGGAGCTGTTCTGAAAGATTCAGTTTATACAGGGAGATCATCCGTAAAATAGCAGCAGACTAGCAAATCTCCACACTCCGAACCATTTTGTCTTGAGATTTGGGGAATGTTTTTTTAACCTTTTTTCCATTAGACAAAAAATGCTGACATAAGACATAAATTAGATTTTTCAAATGAGAGGTGGAGCAAAGCCGCTGAGTTCAGAATGTACTGTATTATTTCACCTGTGTTAACGGTACAGTTTGGTGCCAGTGTCCATGCCGCAGCTGCAGCACCAGAATGCTTCATTAGCCCCTTGTGTGAAAACAAATTTCACAATTTACTCTTTTACACTGGTAACTTCCTTAATTTGAAGACTGAATCTGCAGATGAATACCAAGTATTGACATGGTACTGAATATGAGAGTTGGACCTTTACTCCACTTCTGTCTTAACCTGATGAGAGACATTGACTGCTCCTGATATTCCTTTCTAGCTCTGCTATTTTTTTAAGCAATTGCCCCAACACATCACCTTACTGTGTTTTAATCGTTGATAGCCACAATAAATCTTTATGTTCTGAATCCTTTGTGTTGCTTTTGCTCCCTCCTGCTCTGGTGGAGTCAGTCATAAAAACCTCTGAGTTCTGGTGGTTTGGTACCAGATGGGTTTTACACAGAAATAAACTATCAAGCTTAACATTCATATCAACATTAACATGAAGTGTCTTTCAAAATCAACAGAAAACAGCATTAAACTGAAATCAGTTTTATAGGAGCTGGGTGGCACATGTGACAGAATCATTGCTACTGTAATCCATACTACATAGAAAGCACATAGGCAGTTTTTATTTACATTTTCAGTGCAGCAGCAAAGAGGTCTTTCACATTAAAAACCATCCAATCTTACTTGGGACGCGTTCAGCCGTGGTGTGAATACAGCCAAAGAATACATAATGTGTAACTGGTATGACAAGGGATGTGATCAGTAGTGAAAATACTGGAGGAGGAGGACAGGGAGGGAGGTCATGGCAGAGTGAGGAGGAGGAGGAAGACAGCGAAGGTCAAAAAAAATGAGAGAGATGGAAGAGTGAAGACAGACCACTGCCACAGCCCACCCACACTGCGTGCACACACACACACACACACACACACACAGTGGTCCGAGGTTCACCTGCAGTTCATGCTGACCATAACAACACCCCTGAGAAAGAACGCAAAAGGGGGAACATGAGACGGACATGGAAAGTAAAATGAGAGAGGTTACGGGATGAGAGTGATGTGGTATCAGGAGGGATGGATGACTGGAAGGAGGGAGGAAGGGAGGAGGAGATGAGGGAGAGGTGGGAAAGCAAAGTAATAATTTAGGGTTGTGGGAGCTCAAAGCTCAAATCAGTCAAAGCGAGTTTTCAGCCTGACTTCTGCCAACTCGGCGGGTTCGTGCCAAGGTCAGTGAACTAAACACGTTCTGCATACTCACGTGTTAGCCTTTATGGGTGTTTATTCTCAGTGGACATCAAATGCCTTCAGACTGTGTACAGAAGTGGTACATGTAGGTACTAATACATAATTATGTAAAGAGACATACTGATCAGAAATGCAGTTTTATTGATAATACTGACATAATGCAGTGCACACACTACTGCTCTGTGGATATTAAGTCAAATACAGGTCATGTTTAGAACACATTCAGTCTGTGTCTCCACAAAAAAAAAAAACAATTTTAAAAACCATCAGTACTGCCAGCCATGATCACCCACCTTTTACAATAACAACAAAGACATTTGTCCTGGTGCTGTTCATACTGTATAAAAACACAGATTGGTTCAAAACTGGTTTCCAGTTTCACCAGGACAGAGTGCATCAGTTTACTACAGTCAACAACAGGAGGATGCTCGTGGTTTAAGCTGCAGCATAGTGCAGTGTACATCCACACAGTGGGGCGTTCTGTTTTAGCAACAGGAATAGTGCAAAGATGGCCAGTCATTCAGAGATAGTAATTTCACATTAGTAAACAAAATCGGACTTTAGGATTCACATGCAGACAAACATAAAAACAGCAAATTAGACATTTTTTTTTAAGTCTTAAGGACTTTGCACATGTCCACCAAAGACCTGTTTTGTTGAAAAATAAACTCTGCCTCTTGAGCTCACAAATGACACACTATGTCTTGTTTATTTCACTTAACAAGCTATGTTTTTTTCAGCGTGTTAAATATGGAGGACTACTGACCTCTGAAGGCTCTCGGGGCTGGTTCATGACAAAGCCTGAAATGCTGCTTCTCACTGTTTCTAGTCTATTAGCCAAGTTAACCTGCCAGGTGCGGGCAGGAAGTTAAAGACTTGAGAGTGGTATTGACTGTCATATCTAGCCCTCCGAAACACAGTAAATTATAAAATAAAAATATTTTCCAAAATGTCCTTGTTTTAAGCTTCAAAAACGCAACTGGAAGCTACAGCTACTTAAGAGAATCTGAAATGTTTGTGGTGTCTGAATAGCTTCAATTCATGCTGAAGCGCATGCTAGTATTACTATACAAGATGTTTGGTGGCTAGAACAGCAGTTAAAATGTTTGCTAGTGCTAGTGACTGCTTGGTAAGAGTTAGCCTGAATTAGCCTGAGTAGATGAAGGGCTGTGTTGGGAGTGTGGGTGCAGACAAAGAGTCTGTCCTACACCCACACAAAACTTGATTTGGTGTTGGTGATAATATAGTTACAGACTCACTGGAATTGTTAAGTCTACTTTTCCTAGACAATCAGTTGGACCAGCCACTGCTTGACCTGAGTAAATACAATGCAGAAGCTGTGTGTCAAGACACATATCTGCTCTATATTTGGGTGAGGATCTGATTCAGGGATGCTTTGTGTTATGGGTAGGTCTGGAAGATGGTGTTGCTTATTGTGGGGCTCTGAAGATGTATGACGGTAAGGCCTGATATCTTTGGGGCCAAATACTGGGTAAACATCATTTAACTTGTATATTAAGCTTCCATATGAACAGTCTGCCTTTCTTTGGCACATTTAATTGTTAGTGTTAGCAGCAAAGCTAAAAGCTGAAGGCACGTTGCATTTACTGACAAGAATAATATCCGGCAAAAACATTGCTGATTTGACAAAATTATAGTAAGAAGGACATTGAGGCTGTGTTGAAAATTAACTAAAACAATCCAGAGCACGTTCACTGGAAATGGAAACTGACAGCAGAATTTAATAAAGGGTTTCTATTACATCAGTAGAATGTTTAAAGCTCTCTCAAATGTATAAGGCTACTTCAAGATACTAAGATAGAAATTAAATGTGCTAATTTTTCCAAAAATCCATAAACTTCTCATCTGTTCATGCAAACATCCTGCCATAAAATAGATTTATCTTGTCCATTTCTGAACAGGTATCAGGTGTGCTCTGGATTGTTTCAGTTAATGCACCTGATACAAAGCAATGGGAATTTTCATTGTTTTTTTCCCTTTTGTTATTTTTTGTCATTTCCTTGTTTTATATTTACAGCTACCTGAAGACAACACCTATATCAGTGACCTTACTGATGAGTTTACTATTTGTGTTGCGCTGATTTTTGCTCCTGTGTTGTGCACATTTCTCCACCAAGCTGTCATTTTCAAGCCATCTATTTACATTTTGCTCATCACTATATCTGAATAGACCTTTTCAGCAGGTGCAGGACAAAAATATGTAGTGACATTCATTCTTCTAAACTTAAAGATACTTTCTTTCAAAGTAAACATTGAGAAGAACCTCAGACCACTTCTCAAGTGGAGCGGTAACCTGAACCAAAGAACACAAACAGGAAAACTCAACCCAAATAGTTTCCCAAAACAGCTGAATACCTCAAGCAATAATACAAATAATACTGATCTTAAAATGAAATAAAGAAAATAAAGACTTGTCTAAGTCCCAACAGAAGCTACGTATATTTTACTATCTTAAAACCAATGAGCTTTGAGTATATTTCCACAGCAAATGTCCGCAGGATCTGGTCGTGTCTCATCTCAGTCACGACTTTAAATGATCTGTTCTCCAGCAGCCACATCTTTCACATAGTTTCAGTTGTTCTACAAGCACAGATACACATTTGCAGCTTGTTTAGTTGGTAACAGATGATCCTTTTGCTGCCTCTAATACTCTGCCATCATTCATTTTGAATGTCACTATAGCTGAACCTAACAGTATTTTTTGTCTGTCAGTGTTGTGGCCATAAAATAATGATTTGAGCCACAGTGTGCCTGCAGTGCATCATTTCCAGCAGCCACCATGGTGCCAGAATATGATATCACATACACATTGCCCACCCCCACCCCTCAAAAATGGTGCATAGAAAATGAGTAGGAACCTGACCAATGCAGTGGTGCCTAAATGATTGATTCAACTGTTTGTAGAAGTGATTAATCTTTAGTGTTTTCCATTCATTCTCGGAAGCATTGAGTCTTTTTATGATGATTCTGTGAGAGGAGAGACTAGGGCCATTTCAACAATAGTAAGTTGACAGTGACGCCTCCCTCCACACAAAATGTACCATGGTTTCTTAGGGGCAACAATGCTATTCCAACTCTGCAGGAAACAAAATGCTAGAGTTTATGGGTACAAGGAAAGAAATGTTGACATCTGATAACAAGTTCCTCATGTTTTGAAAGCTAATTTGAATTTTGGAGTAAAAGTCTGGGCTGCAAATCAAATGTTTGCTATGTGTTGATTTTAAAACTCCGGAGAAGGTAAATTATCTGAGGATCACTCCGACCTGGCAGGACAACAGGTTACCAAAGCTCCGTCCAATAAATGAGCTCCTTGTGAGTCCATGTGACTTTTGTTTACAGGGCCTGGTTGGCTTGTAATTCACTGGCATGAAACTAAAACTAAAACAAATAAGTCTAAGTCAACTTTTCCACTCTGATCAGGACCATAGCAAATGAAATGAGGAGAAAAAGTAAATTTAGACTGAGAACAAACAGATGCAAAATGAAATACAAGAAAAGAAGAGAATGGATGCAAGTATTTCTCTCACCCTCTTCTCCATCTTTCTAATTATGACTTAATTCATCTTTATCGTCCATCCATGTTTTGCTTTGACTGCTAAGTCTTCCAGGTTTATTTAAGGATAAGACACTGACACACACACACACACACACGCAGATAAACTAACATGCTTCAGGAAATCCCATAGAATCTGAGCGGATTAGTCTCCCTCTCCTGTTCAGGCAATGTGTCTGTCTTTGTCTATGGACTGCGATCATACATCTGTTCTGACCCACATGAGCCAGAAAAATGCAGATTACATCAAAGACTAACATTACTCCAGTTTTCATTCAGTTTCATCAGCACAGTGTGTGTGTCCTTATCTGCTGACATTCATTCCATTCCATTCCATTCATCTTCTACTGCTTAATCCCTGAACAGGGTCCCGGGTGGGGCCCAAACCCGGAGCCTTCTTGCTGTGAGGCAACGGTGCTAACCACTGCACCACTGTGCTGCCCTCTGCTGACATCCATCTATCTGAAAACATACTTTGTGCTAGTAAAGTGCAAGATCAACAGGAATAAATCTCCAACTTAACCCGCCGAACCTTGAGAGTGCTACAAGACTGAAGGGGAGGGAGGATAGGGAATACGAGAAGACAGAAACTAATTTCAGGTAGTAGAAAAAAAAAAGGATATAGAGGTGAAGAAAAGGTGGGGATCAAGGAGGAAGAGGAAAAACAATAAAGGGGGAGGGAGAAAAGAATGAGGATAAAAAGAAGGAAGAGCAAATATTGATGCAGAAGAAGGAAGTGCAGAAGAAGAAGAAGGAGGATGTGGAATACAAGGAAAAAAGGAAAAAACCTAATGGCTGTTACTAAATTTTTGTATTTTAAACAGTATTTTTGTACACTGGTAACTGCTGAGACATTAAAAGACAAACCTTCCCACAGCACCTGAAGGCAGCATATTAGATCTACACATAACATCCATCCATCCATTATCAACACCATTTATCCAGAAAAAGGTTTCAGGGGTGGGGGTGAAGCCAATCCCAGTTGGCACAGGGCTCCTACACATAACATCCATAACCAAAGATGAAAACATGCATCAGATTTTTTTAATAACACAAGTCTGACTTGATTTTTAAGACCTGATTGCACTTGAAGGCAGCATATGTGACAATGGCATAACATACCTTGCATTAAGGGTTTTACAATTAATTAAACCGTGATAAGGTTTGCCATTTTGATGCCGTTCAGTCAGTGCTGCCTCACCTGATGTTGACAGTTGCAACATCTCAATCTTTTATTCTGTTTCTGCTTTTTCAGACGTGGGGGCATTGGCGACGAGCATTCATTCTCCCTCTTCTCTGTATGAACGCGGATGATCCGGAAAGAGAGATGAGAAAAATGACGGCGGGGTGACGAGTAGGTAGGCTGAAGACACAGATGACACATGCTGAGATCTAATCTGATCTTTGGAAGCACATCCAGTACAGTAAGGCAGGTTGTCTGATGAATGGAAAGACGTTGGTGGGCACATCTAACAGTAAAGGCACAAATGGACTCACAAACACACAAGTGAACCTCAGGCACTATTGTGAATGAGGCCTGTTTGTATAAACATCTGTCTGGAACACACAGAGTCACAGTTCACAAGCTGATCGCTGCTGTTATCACTTGCTCTGAACAACTTCAGGAAGACATTTGAAGAAAGAAATAGGCATGAAGAAGCAGAAATGTAACCTTATTTCACTCTCAGAAAACTTCAGTGTGTCTGCTTGTTCATGGTTTGGTTCTTTTTTCTGCATCCCTGGACTCTTCCATCATCACTGTGCTGCCTTGGGAGGTCCAAAGGGTCCCACCATCTTCATTGCAGCATAGTTCTGTAGGATGAAACAAACAAAAAGAAGAAGAGAAGATGCACAAAGTTACTTTTGTGTTATATTCAGCCTGGCTGTTTTTGTTTATTTTTTATTTGTGGTTTTTGTTCATGTGAATCCTCATAAGTTGTTCTTTCTGGACAAAATTATTTAATTATTCAAACAAATAAGCACATGTTGCTAGCTGGTGTGGCTTGTGTCACCTGTCTGTGTCACACAAACAAATATATAGAGAGACTCAAACTTGCCGGGAATGCGTATAGAAAAACGCCGAGGAAGAGGAGGATGAAGAAGAGAATGATGAACAGGATGATGAACCACTTGAAGCGCCTCCAGAGAATGAACTTGAGGGTCTTATAAGGGGAGGAGAACCACAGGAAGGAGGTCTCAGGACGCCTGGGAGGAGACAAGAAGGATGCTTGGAGATTATGTTATTGAGTGTGTGTGTGTGTGTGTGTGTGTGTACACACATTTCTACAAGTGGACACGTTTTTGTTCAATACTGTTACTGAGAGAACATTTGGACTGGTCTTCACACTTCCCGAGGGCTGTTTGAGGGTTTCAGGGTTTAGAGTAGAGCAGGGATCCGGCCTCATATTTCTGTCCAAACCCAACCCGGACCCGACAAGCTTATAGTGTATAATATCCGAACTCGACTTGAGCCTGACACAGTTGAGTTTGGATGGTGTTTTCCCCCTTATTTAAGTGCTCCTAGATTTTGACCTACATACCCAAACCTGGCCTGAACCGATGGGCCCTGTCGAGCTGGGTTCGAGTATCCACATTCTAGTTTAGGGTTAAGTGAAGGGTTGGAGTTCCACTTAGTTGTGATGGTTAAGGTAGGGTTAGGGTCTAAGGAGGGTATTATGTCAGTGAGTGTCCTCACAATTATAAAAAGACAAGCATGTATGTGTGTGTGTGTGTGTGTGTGTGTGTGGCTCACTGAGGTTCCTCCAGGTGAGGGTTCATGTTGGGTTCGTCTCTACCGAGGCCAGCTGGTCTCTCCTCTTGCTCCTGTTCTGTCACGATCTCTAATGATACCTCCACTTTTCCCTGAAACACAAACATGCAGTATATCATTTAGTACTATCCATTAAAATACAAAGTACTGCATGTACTCATCTTTAAAGTGATTGTGAATGTCTTTCTGAAGCTCAGGGACTACTTGAGGGGCTAGCTAGTAAAGCACTGTGGCTGGATATCGCTCACAACAGTTGACAATGCTGTAATTCCCTGAGCTTCTTTCTATTTTTTATGTTCTCAAATATTTACAACCTACTGGCATTTTGTTCGTGAAATTATACAGCATTTCATTTAATAAAGTGTTTTTGAGAAAGAGAGAAAAGCTCTCCAAGCTAACAGGCAGTTACTATGTTTGCTAGTTCAGTTATGAAAGGAACAGTAATGTCACATAATTTACTCAAAAAGAAGCATTTGCACCATTGACTCTTTTGTCATAACTATCTATAAACTATTGCTCATTTATGGAGCAGTTTATACAAGATGCAAAACAGCTGACAAGCTGAGACAGTTTCCTCCATTTTGAACTTTCCAGCTCTGAAATTTCCTGAAATCTTAGCACCATGACGATCACTTTGCTTTTGGTCAGTACCACTGATTCTTGTGCCAAAGTTCACCAAACTCGAATCCTGAAAGGGAATTACAATTACAAAGACTCCTCAGGGGATTTTGTGGGGCAAAATTAATCATTGTTGTTCAGTCTGTTTTGAAAATCCTGAAGGATGATTAGGGCTTCAAGCAGACCTAGTTTCTTTGTTTATGTAAATCTGTGAGTGTCTCTGTGTGCGATGTCCATCTGTGTATGCTTGCGTTCTCACAGCAATGATCTTCTCTCCATTTTTCTCACAGATGCAGGGCCACCACCCTTTGACAGTCTTCTGTTCGAACAGAGACACCAGCCTGTCCTTTGGCTGATCAAACAGCTGCAGGCCGCATTTCCCTGGAGTTTTGGCTGGACGCGGCATGCGGTTCAGGTCCATCACCAGGTGACCTACAGAGACATTAAGAGTGCATTCACACAGGGCTGGATCATAAGGAAAAAGAAATCATGACAACAATAAACACATTATTATATTAGAAAATATCTCTCCTGTTGAATCCAACTAATTGCCTAGTTCAGTGTTTCCCAAACTGGGGGTCAGGACTCGATGCACAGACAAAAGCAGGTGAGAATTTGTCTTGTGCCTTTGTGAAAAGAAAAATGTGTTGGGTTATGGTGAAAGTTTGCACTCAATTGAAAAACATCTGTAAATCTTTAAATTCTTTCTTTATCGCTTGTTTTTACACAACTCATGCAAACCACAAAGGTCTTCTTTTTTTCTATTCATTTCAGCAGCGTCAGCTCTCCACATAGCCAGGTTTTCTTAACGACTAATTACCGAGTGTGTTCTGAATGAATTATGGACGATCATGTGGTGAAAGGTAGTTAATACGGTTTTGATCATTGTTGACGTTAAGTATTGAGGAATTGTGGGTTGTTGAATGGCTGAAGAGAGACTAGACGTCCACTAGGGAGTGTTTTTCCAGAGTTCGCTGCCGTTTGACAGTTTGACCGTAGGAAAATGGCTTTGAGTCTGATGCAGAAAGATCAGCAGTCAGCGGTCCGAGCTGACAAGCTGAAGACAGGCAGGCAAGGAAAAAATGCTTTGAGGTGGCCACACGCCCGCAGACTGTACGAGGTGAACAAACTCAATTGAGAGGAAACGTCACGGCAGAGATTATGACAGACAGCAGCAGCTCTGAATCTGGATTCTTCATCTTCTTCCTCCTCTCCCACCGCAGACAGACACTCAGTCTTCTTCTTTGGCAAAGAAAGAAAAGATGAAATAAAGCAAGGGGAGTGAAAGAGGAGAGGCACAATGGTCAGCTATTTCAAGGGACAGGGCTGGGGCAGCGTCAGGGGTGAAAGAAAAGCAGAATTTTGACAGCTTGAGCCTCAAGAAACAAAAATAAAATCAGCCCGCCCTCTGTGAAATGTGCCAACACAGTGGAAATCAAAGAGCATTAATTCTAAAGGTAAATGTTATTACAGTAGTTTGTCTTAAGTGTACACTGCACATATGGCTTCCTGGATGGATTTAACACCTAAACCTCAGCCAAAAAATCCTGAACGACTGTCTGCACTTTGTATCCCAAAATGAATGGCATGCATTTGCACAACCAAATGGCTTGTATGTGTGTTTCACAGTTGCTTAAATAGGTAGGAACCCAGGGACTATGGAACACATCCACTAAAACTCCAACTATTAAACTGTGATTTAGAGATATCTTTCTTGGAAGTACTGCTACTAAATCTGTAAAAAATATATTTATTAGACATTGATTTTGTTCATGCACACCTATCATGATTAACCAGGCAGGTTGAAAACTTTATAAAGGTCAAAAGAAAATAACAATAAACTCTCAGAGCAGTGGGTTTTACCGAGGTAGTCATCAAAGGAGAACTTGTCGTTGTCCCAGATTTGGATGGTCAGTTTAGGAGCCAGTTTAGTCTCAGCTTTGTCCAAACTCCAGAAATGTTCCTGGAAAGACGCAGGTACATCAGAGAGAAAAACAGGTTTTGTTTTCTCCATGTAATAAAAGCAAGTTCTATAGTTCCAATGCTTTAACACTTAAGAGAGGATTATTTTTATGTAAAAAAAATGTATGTACAGTAAATTATTTTAAAATCAAGACACTTGAGGGCAGCCTGGTGGTTAGCTCTGTCACCCCATAGCAAGAATATTCTGCAAATAGACTCTTCTTTGCTGTCTGTGTAGTGGCTTCACAGTGACTCAGAGCCTCAATCCGCATCATGCTTTCACACTTCATAACAACAAACACAAACACTGAATGTAAACACAGTGTGCATGTGTGTGTGTGTGTGGCTGCCAAAGCATGTACACAAGCCAGTGTCATTGTGTGTTCACCATTTGGCTCACTTTATCTACAAACTCTATCCAAGCACAAGTTGTCACTCTACAACTGTCACAGGTGGGGGTGAGATGTTGTATACAAATGTGTGTCTTATGTGTCTGTAACTGCTTTGTGCAGCATCAGTCACTGTCCTGTTTGTTGCCAGAGGGCTAAGTACAGAATCTTGTTTAGTCTTCTCCCTCATTGGCTCCATCAGTCTTTCTGTCTCAAATCAAAGAAGATGTATTGGTGTAAATGTTACGTTACAGTATTGCCAGGCTACTGCTCACGCGCAGGCCGAGAGGAAGTGGAGAAGGAGGTTTACAGTGACTGAACTTTAATATGATTGAAGAAACCAGTAAACATATATCATGTCATCTTCTGCCAATCAAGTCTTCTTTATTTTGTTCATTACCTAAAAGCCTGTACAGGTCCCTCACACTCTCCTCCAGTGAGCAATGCGATTCACAAACACGCCCTCCTTTCTCCAACATGTTAACGCTGCAGAGGTCTCAGATGACTAACAGCCGCTCCACTAAGAGCAGTGCCACAAAGTTTACAGCTGCTTTCACCTGACGTTAGACTGCAGTCGCAGTTCCCTCTGTCACAGCAGTGGTAAATCAGGTGCTGACGGTATTAGTATACATCTCCTCCTTGATTTTTTTGCATTCCTAAACAGGAATTCCTTAAAATACATGTTGCAATGAGACCAGTCTTGCAAATTTCAGGGCTGCGTTTTACCTTTTCTTCAGTGTAAAACCCACCTGTGACTCCCAGTGAAATGAATACACGTAATTTGACTGTTTTGCACCAAAAAATGAGCCACAAAATGTTAGTAAGTATCAACCACATTGTTATTTTCAGGAGCAGCAGACAGACTTTGGCAAGCTCTGACATCTTATTTGGTGATGGACACAATAATGAAGCATTTTAGCTAAAAATTAGACCTTTTACACTGTCCCCAAGTGACCAAACATCAGTTAATGTACAGTAGATTTGAAGACTTGTGTATACAAGGCTTTTCAAATACGCAGCGCTGTATATGAGCCTATATAATTTGCACTAATATGCAGGGGCTGTGATGGTATTATATCCATATTAGCTTGGCTTGACAGCTGATGGATTCAGAATTCTGAGAGTAAAGGTACAATTTGAATTTAAAGCCAGAATTCAGAGGGAAAAAGTCAGAAACAGCATGCTGACAAAACCACACACTGGTGGTTTTGTGACCTGAACTAGAGCTGAAAAATAAAAGTGCAAATTTTCCTGCCACATATTATAAACTAATATATATCTATAGAGTGTTGATTGTGTGGTTGATCTGTCCCTGTGACTCAGTGATTACATCACCAACCGCTGAGGTTTCTGGCTTCAGGACTGTTTTGGAGTAACAACACTCCACCCAGCAGGGGTTTTCTTTTATTTAAAACTCCCTCTTGTCTTATCGGTTGCTGGCTGAGTGAGGGTGCTGCTACAGGCGAGCAACTGCTGTTGTAAAACATGCTGGCTGCAACTGGCTAAAGAGGCTCGTTCTCAGGCCAAGAACAGCAAATAAATGCTGTTATTCCAGTAGTCAGTGCAACGTTATTAAAGCTCTTCACTAGATGTTTCTGTTGAGTCTCAGAGATCCAACAACATCGAACTCCTTTCTTGCTGAAAATGTCACTTCATTAATTTTGTTAATTGCTGGCTGTTGTACAGGAAACCTCGCCTCCAAAATATCCCTTGACCACACTTCTGACTCAGTCTTGTGCTGGGCCTGATGTTCTTGCCGCAGTTTGTGTTCATGTGGACATTCTTGTTTTTTTAAGATTTAATTCAGTCTGACCAGTGCAGTGTTAAAGATTTTAGCTTTTATCATGTCACCACAGGCAACTGATTAAACAAATATACATTAAAAAAAGAAAATGCTGAAATGGAAATACAAAATAGTAGTATCTGGTGTGTAGCTTGCGTAAAACAAAAAAGCCTGTTTTGCTGAAGGATGAGAACTTTTAAATTCCCATAAAACTTTTTCACCTCGTTTTCCATCTAGTTTAACAGTGTGGCTCACTGATGTGCTTGTCTTGCCGCCCTTCTCCTTTGTTTCATGTTGCTGCTCCAGCTATGCAGTAAATATGTGTGAGTGACAGTGACTTTCCCTCCTATCTTCCGTAAACCTTACCTTTTTGTCAACAACACAGAGCTGTTCTGCTGGTAAATAGTGGAAGGGAAACAGGAATCTGTAGTTGAAGTTTCCTTCTCCGCCAAGGGAGCGGTAGTGGACGTCAGTCTTCTGCTTGTTGTGTTCGTGACCGTCGAGCCAGCTGGCAAACAGAGGAAGGACGTAAGTTGTTGGTCATGTAATTAATTTCTTTGTTTTTATGTAAATCTAGTCAATAAACACACGGGGGCAATAGTTATGGTTATTTTTTAAAGTGATGAGGAGAAGGGAGGAGATGAGATGGAGAATCAGTGTAAAACAGAAGAAGTGTTCGTGAATACCCTTTAACATAGATGTCGCTCATTTTCTCCCCGCTGATGCTGACATCATCCAGGATGACATCACTGGTGTTCCAGATGATGCAACGCAGGAAAAACCTGCGCAAGAACAGATGTGATTACACTGATTATTGATGATTTATAGGTGTATCAATTACAGCGTACTGACAGCGTGACTGAGATAATGGTTAAATGACTAGCTGACTAGTTGATTGATCAGCTGCTTGCATGACTGAGTAAAACACACCATATAGTGATTCATTAATGGATAAGCTGACTAACTGACTGAGTCTTTGAATGAGTGATTAACTACGGTATATGATTGATTGATTGACATCTTAATTGGCTGACTGATTAACTAATACACTTACTAAGTCATTGACTGACTCACCAAGTAATTTAAATATGAATTGCCTGACTGACTAATCAACTAACTGATTTATTGACAAACTGATTCAAAGACTCACTGTTCACTGATTGATTTGCATATCAGTTTACTTGTTACCTGGCTGATTAATTGACATTCTAATTTACTGACAGATTGGCTGATTGACAATGTGACTGGCTGATGAACAGATTGATTGACTGGAGTGTGTTAGCTCTGGAAAAAGATGTCAGAGTTCACCTCAAACCCAGAGATGATCTATAGCAGATTTGACATTTATGAATGTTTGTCTTCTTACTTTTTAGCCTTGCGTGGTGTGATGTTGAAGGCAGGCCCAGGTGGCCCCAGGGCCTTGGGAAACAGGTCCACCCACATCATCAGACGCCCCTGACACCAACAGCCGAGCAAAAGGTGAAATGAAAAGCAAAACAATACAATCAAAGAGAAGTTAAACTGCTGACAAAAGATGGAAGAGGAGAAAGAAACAGACATAAATGATCATTAGTACATGTTACCTGCTCTATGTCAGGTTGCAATGGGCTGTATAGGGATCTGGTCTCCACATGTTCAGGTACCAGTCCCAGTTTCCCCAAGATGTGGAGGGACAGTTGCTCCTTAATTGGACCGAGGTGACGTTTAGATTCATGTTTGTCCTCTGAAAACACACACAGGTATAAAAACAGACCAAAGTTTAAGCACAGGTCATAGTACTCTTTAAATGTTAAAGATGCCAGAGTGGAGAATGGAAACACATAATACTGGGGGGACTGGGAAGAGAGCAGCTCACATAGGAATTATTCATTATTTATTATTCATACACACACACACACACACACACACACACTCAGACACTAATACAGTTTAAGCTGCTCATTGGTCTCTGCATCACCACTGACTGAGGAAAATCAGAGCTCCATCCAAGTAAAATGAAAATATCAAGTTAACGTCAAAAGTTTATGACCGTAAACTTAGAGTCACCTCAACCGAAAGAGAAGAGACGAAGGAAAGACTGGAGAAAGGAAAACAGAGGAGTGGATAAAACAATATGTGGAGATAAAAGGACACATACAGTAAGAAGGATACAAGGAGAAGTGAGGACATAATAGGAAAGGAAACAGAAATCTAGGCAAACAAAAGGAAAAGAAGTCAAGAAGAGAAGAACCCCAAAGACAAGTTTGGGGGGGGGGAAATAAAAAAATAAAAGAAAACAAAACTGCAAAAATGCAAAGAGAAAGTATGACAAGAAAGTTTTGCCAAAATAAGTCAAAAGATAGGACAAAATCGAGAGAAAGGTGAGTGAGGGAAGGATGGAAAGAAGAGAGAAAAGCAAACACGAGCAAGAAAGAGGGAGAAGCCCAGAGGGCAATGGAAGAGAGAGAGAAAATGTGATAAAGATACTGTAAAAAGAAGGTGACAAAAAAGGAGACAAGACAAGGAGAAATGGAAAGACAAAAAGGATGAGGAAGCAAAAAGGAAAAGATGGGAGAGCAAAAGAACAGAAATTGATAAAGAAAGGAAAAGGAGAGCAGAAGGGAAGATGAATGAGAAGAGGATGAGGACAGAAAAAAGGAAAATGGGTACAGTGATAGATAGGAGGGAGGAGTGGAGGAGGAGAGAGACCTTTACCCTAATTAGCGGCCGCTTTTGATGGGCAACAGGCTGACGCACAGTAGCACCGTAGCAACTGTGGAAAGAGAACGCGGTGGCGCTCTATGCTAACTGAGAGATGACCACGATGTTGACATTGGCTTGTCTACGCACACACACACACTCCTCACACACACACACACACACACACACACACACACACACACACACACACACACACACACACACACACAGTTGTACCATAAATCACCAAAACGACAACCATGACCTTGCGTTGCACCAGTTATGGAACATATGTGTGTTTTGTGTGTGTGTCTTTGCGAGTGAAAATGAAGCTTGAATATTTAGCTCCTCTCTTTGCTTTTCAGGTGGTCCTGCGGGTTCAACGTCCCTCTCCATCCTTCTTTTCTCCCTTCTGTCCTCAACCCCTTCCAAATTTTATAGTTTTAGTAGCAGAGTATCAGTCAAAGGTTTGGACACACTTTCCCATGTGATCAAAAGAGAAGAGAAGAGAAACAAGGAAGGAAAAGAGATAGACGGATGTGTGCAGTGGAAGAGGAGACAAATGAAACAAAAAATGAGCAAAGTGAGAGATGGGACAGAGAAACAAAGGAGCAAACAGAGAAAGAAAAAGAGAAGAGAGAGATGGGGCCACAGTGGGAGCATAGTGCAGAGTGATTTATCTGCTGTGAGCGTGTAAGAGCCACTTGTCCACACACACTCAAATGTGTGTTCTCATTAAACTGAGACATTTGTAATGGTGGAAGATCTGAGAGAGTCTGAGTCAATCAGTAATGTACTGAAGGGCGTGTGCGTGCATGTTCGGTGGCGTCAGCTCCGTGGTCGAACTACCCTGCACTTCACGCTTCTTTCTCACTAATTTTGTTTGTGATTCGCACTGGCTTCGGCAGTAGAACAAAAACAGAACAAGTTAAAAATAAAACAAAATTCACAGATTCTAAAATATAATTGTGTCTATATCAGTATTTCTTTTTCCTATGATTTATGAGCATGCATCCCTCACCGAGGTCTGCAGCAGTGTATTGATCTCCTCTGAAGTAGACCGTGTCGTTCTCATAGGTGGGCTTTCGCAGGTTTTGTCGCTCACACACTCTGAACAACAGCTGCCTGGGTGTCATCTGGTCTCGCCACTGGTTTATCCCTGATCTATTGGGGGAGATGCAAAAAGTGTATGAGATAATAACCTGCTGACCCTATAAACACAGTAGAGGAATATTTTTATAGACATTTGTTTTTATTTATTCCATTCGTTTGTCACATTTTTAAAAACATCATGAGAAAAACCACAGATGTAAACAAAACTAAAAAAACAAAACTGTGTCTTAGGAATAGATGAACAATGATAACAATTAAAAAAGTATAAAACACAATCATCTGGCAACTGTGTTCACTCACACACAGTAGGACTGCGGCAGGCCACACATGGCTCCGTATCTGGATAGGAAGCGATTCTCCAGGTCCACCACTGTCTCTCCAATCTTCTCGTCCTTGGTTAGCATGTCATGGTCATACAACATCACCCGGAGGTCCTTCTCCAGAGGGAGGGAACAGTTGAGTTCAAACATCCTGGAAGACAAGGAGGTAACAACAACACAGGGAAAACAGCTTTTATTAAGACAGAATACGACTCTCCCACAACGCTATGGAGGCCATATTGGAGGTCCAAGCCATTGTTGATTACTTAATCATTCAGCATTTTAGTCACATATTCCCTCTTTAACCTGAATTATGGTGACACTTTATTGTGCATGTAAATGTGATCAAATTCAGTCCTAACAATATCTAATAAGATTTAAAAAAGCATGTACTCTTCCTCTGTATAGCTATATTGTATTGTATTGTATTGTGAAGAACAGAGCCAGTCCTCCTATGATTTCCATGTGAGAGAGAACTTTGAATTTGACCTCCGAAGACTGAATTTAACAAGTACAAAATGCCAGAATTTTCAACTGCTGTTTCAGCCTGTCACGGAGTCAGTCTGGACTCTGATGTTGGCTATGCCTCTGCACTCCTCTTTGTCCTGGTGTTGTGATTGGTGTGAGTGTAGAGACCCCTACTGATGCTAGAATGAACAAGGCACAGAGGGAGAGACGATGGAGGAAACAGTGAAGCCAATGAAAAGGAAAAGTGATCAAATTCAAGATGAAAAGGCTGCAAAATTCAAAAGTGACCTTCTAAAATAAAGTATGCAGTCAACCATGCTTTCAGTTAGACTATACACTATGTGATGTTGTCATGGAAAATGTTTCCTAAGTAATATGTTTGGGCTGGAAAAAATGAATCCACCCATCAATGAACATGTTAAACAAGTATGAGAAAAGGTTTGTGAACTGTTCTAGAGAAAACAGAGTTAAAACACTTAAGTACAGTAAGACCTCAGCGTAGTGAAACCCCCCCCAAAAAGCTGCCAAGCAACAAGAGGTTGCTCCAAGTGCTTCACATTCAGTGTGTGTCAAGTGGTTTGTGGTAATCTGAGTAACTGCAAATTTGCTTGGAGGTCTGCATCACTAAAGCATACTATCAACTGAAATAAAAACAACCTAAAGAGCAAACTGACACCAAGTTCGGCACTAAAAGAACTTCTCATATGTTAAAAAAATAAGCATTCAGGCCCCTGTGTTAAAAAGTACATGGTGTAAATTCCTTTGTCAATCTTTGTTTGACCAAATTTCCACAAACAAAGAGTTAATGGGGACCTACAACAAAATTTTGCGGGTTCATCCGGCCATGCCTATCAGTTATTTGAAAAGTGAATTTACTGTACCAAAACATTCACCAAATGAACGAGTTTTTTTGGTTGGGTTCTGTGAGGGATTTCGATGAAGTGGATGCAAAACCACTTGAAATGATAAAATCTTAAAGAAAAGACACAGCACCTTGATTTTGAGTTGGATATAAGAAGATTTTTTTAAAGAAAGAAAGAACAACAAGACAGAAAAAGAGAGACCGAATCCAAACCTTCAGCTGAGCCCTTGTGTTTTCACAGCCACAACTTTAAGTCTGACAAAGTGCCTTAGATAAAATTCTGGGAGATGGGAAGACAGACATGAAGACAGCTCAAAGGAACATTACATACTTCCCAAAGACAGGGTCCAATGTACAGGGGATGTAGTTTTCGTGGTCGCTGATGGTCTTTTTTCCCAAGGTGATCTTCACATAGGGGTCACACTGAAAACAAAAATGTTCTATTAATCTATTTGGCTTATTGTTCTTTTCTTTCCAGACAATTTGTTTTAAGTACAACTAACTCTAACTGCAAGGATATCTTTTCCATATCCACTGTGGTTCATTAAACTGTGTGACGATTAATCAGACACATTCCTATCCATTCTACCTTGCTGTTGGCATCTTTGGGCTGCAGTCCCTGAGCCTGGATGATGTAGACCCGGACCAAACACTCCTCAATGCCATTGGGAGGGAGCTTTCTGAACTGCCTTGGGGGAGCAGAGGTGGAGGGGTCGTCTGGTAGCGGGTAGATCTTAAACATACCCTGGTTAAGGAGAGAGAGGGGGTTTGTGGGATCAAAGACAAGCTGCGGTAAAAGACGTGAACATCACGAGGGAAAAATCACATATTTAACCTTTTAGTTTTGTGACATGATGTGATATTTTGTGACATGACATGCATGTCATAACATTATACAATGAGATTTTGTGATGCGGTAATGTTCTGTGACATAACATGACGCAATGTAACGCAACGAACAGTAAAGTGAGGAGGTTTTGTGGCAAAATGACAGAATAAAACAGAGCTGAATAGAACTCAAGCAAAACAAAACAAAGCATAAGAAATGGTACATCCAAAAAAAAAAAAAGACAAATGCAATAAAATATAACCAAATGAAAAACATTTAAAGCTTTACCTTGAACTCTCCCACCACTGAGGGATCTTCTCCTTCATCCTGAGTCTTTCCTCTGTACAGTTTGAATGTTTGACAGAAATCTGAAAAACCACTAAAGCCTTCGACCTTCTCCAACTCCCGGTCATACACCTGAGGAAGAGGAGAGGAATTTATTACATCTCTGTATTTACATATATCAATAGCTATGTTTATGTGGGACTCAAAAAGCAGAAATGGGTGAGAAGAGAGGTAAGGATGTCAAGTTAGAGGGTGATAGAGAGGGTGTAAGGGATGAGAAGTAAATGTTGAAATGTGATAAAGTAGGGAGGAAAGACATTAAAAGCGGAGAAAGAAAAGTCTGAAGAGAGCGAGGTAAGGGTCATACAAGAGGGAAAAGAGAGATGAGACGGAAGAGAAAAGGGAAGAAAATGAGAGGTGAGAAAATCAAATGACACAGAAGATGAATGATAAGGGGGTTAAGTAAAGGAAGGATGTGCATGAATAGGAGAAAATGAGATAAAAGTAAGGAAGATGAGAACAAGGAAAGACAAGATGAATGGAAGAAGAGTGGAAATGAGATGAAAACATGACTTTGTGTACATGACATGCAGACATGAACATTTTTATCTGTTAATTCCTTTTTACAACAACATGATGCACATAAGAATACTTAAACAGAAACACACAGTGGTATTAACACCAGAATCATCTTTATTTTTAACATTCTTCATCAGTTCGGCAACATAACACACACACACAGCTCTGTGGTGAGTCGCTGCAAAGACAAAAGACTCCTAAAAAGTAAGTTGGAAACACTGGTTCACTTCACAAACAAAACTACCGTGTATCAAAGGGAGTAGGAGGTGGAGGCAATTCCTGCTTGTTCATTTGCTGTATGTCAAACGAAGAAAGTAACCATGAGCTAACTGTAATGTTTTTCGAGTTGTTGGGTGGCAGCTCTGACAGAGTCAGGCTAGCTCTTTTGCAAAGATTTCAGTTTTTGTGTTAATCTAGGTCAGACATGTCCTAGCCTAGAGGTTTTCAGACTGTAAGGTGCCCATTCAACACAGCGGCAGCAGCCATATAGGCCGTGACTCAAAAGCTTATGGAGACAATTAAGTAAAGCTTTAAAATCATTAGTGCCCAATTGCCAAGAAGGAACTGCTATTCGCATCCATACATATGGGGATAATGGTGTGGAGCAGTTGTCTTGATTTTTTCTGAGAGTGTCGGAGTTTGAAAATCCCTACTTCAAAACATCAAGAACTAATTTGCTGAGAAGAGCAACCAAAGGTTTGTCAAAGAGCAAAGGAAACATAGGAGGCAGGAGGGTGAAAAGAAAGGAGGTGGCAATATGGGGTGAAAGGAAGTTAAAGGAGGGTGGAAGGGTTGGAAACAGTGGCTCATTTCCCTGTGACAGCGGCAGATCTGAGCACAGGGTTTGTCAAAGCAAATCAAGGAACAGGAGAGAAGAGGAGGTAGGGATGAATACAAAGGCGTCGTTGGCAGAAAGTAAGTGGAGGGGACCAATCACAAGAGGGTGGAAGTGAGGCAAAGTGATGATGGAACCACTGGCTCATTGGTCATTCCACCAGTTTCCAACCAACTGCCAAGTGAATTTTGACCAAAGTTTTGAAATGTTGTTAAAACTCAAAGGCGACTTAGATGTGTTTCCATCGACCAGGGTGAAACCATTTAACAGGCTTCCTGAATAAAATAAATAGATTCACTAGAAAAATGGTAAGAGTTCATCAAGGGTAAATGGCTACTGGGCAAACTATTATTGTTCTCGCCTGTGCTGTGTCTAATACTTTGATCTACAGAAAAAGAAAGAGGCGGACAGAAGAATATGACATGACCTTTCTGGAACATTTCTGGTAGTTAGAAGGTGACTGATGTGTAATTTGGTTCTTCATTTTACTGATGCTTCCAAAACTGATCAGATAATTTATTAGTTTTTGTAAGTTTGTTTGCACTGATTACATACAGTAAGGAAAATATTACTTTCAAGCTCTTTTTTAGCTTTTGTTTTACATGTATGTAAGAATACGTGCGGAAAACCTGTGTTATAGCTGCAGAACAAGCAAAGGCTCTATTAAGAAAGGGAAAGAACAAAAAAAAGCAAGAAAGAAATTGAAAAAACAGAGTTAAAGCTGGTGCAGTGATGCAAAATGGGAAGTTAGAGGTTTAATTTAAGTGTAATACAGAAAGGCCAAAGTTTGACATGATTAGTCATTTGTTTGGCCATCAGACAAGAAGACTGATATGTTCTTTGTGTCCCAACGGAAGAAAAGGTTGGCGTTTGGGCCAAGAGAATCAGGATAAGGGTTGAGCAGAGCGTGATGGCGGTGAGGTGGGGGTGTGCTACATGGAATTGTGGCTAAACCGTGGTAGACTCTTGAAGAACGAGACTAAAGACAGACGACAGCTGACGTTATCGCTACTATCAACCACCCGGCATCGGACAGTGGCCTTTTCGAAGCGGAAAATTCACTATTGATGAATCATAGTTGTTGTTCAGAAAATGGACAAAATGTCATGGCAACAGTCTGCGAGGATGAGGCATGAGAAGAGAGGGGGAGGAGGGGAGCGATGGAAGGACAGCCTGACAGAGAGAACTGGCAAAAGATGTGATTTAAATGATGAAGTTTGGGCAAAGCATTAAGAAAACACCAAGAGCTGCAATGTCTCCATTTCTTCATATTTTCATCACTGACCTAACACAGAGGCCCTGGATAAACAATAATAATTAATTCACAAATGTCATCATAGAGGCCATCTCAATGGTGTGGTATCGTCAGTGAATTTTTACAAAGTTGTAGCCTACTGTACATGTTTGGCTGTGAAGTCTTGGGTCACAGTAGTAAAGAGTGGGTGGCGTTGCCAGCTAGAACTGACAGTATGTCTGTCTGGTTAAATTACTTTGAATTATCCAAGAATTATCCCACATACAGATTTACCTGGAAACACAAACATTATTGATTATCAAAATATGATTATTTCAGACTAATCTAGACATGTGAATGTTAAAACAATTTATTCAGTTTAAGCACCTACACTTACATAACAACACTACATTAACACTGTGCATTAATTTTTATATGTAGAGAACATGTTCAGTGAGGCTTGTATTTCAGTCCATCTTCTCAGTTAGTAACACGTACATTAAATACACATTCTTACCGTCAGAGTGTCAAAGCCTCTTTCTAGGTACGTTCCACATTTGTTTTTCTCTCCTGTTGAGGCGTAGAACTTACTCCACCAGTCCATGAAGTCTTCTCCCTGTTGGTCACATACTCAGAGGTTGGCATGTTGACAATAGCTTGGACATAAATATGGCTCTAGTGTTAGTTAAGCACTTCAGCCTTCTTGAGTCCATCTCCTTCCTCAACAAAATGTCTGTGGCTGCTGAAATGGATTCTACGTTGTTGATGGAACTGATTTTCCTTAGCATCTGAACTTTTTTAATGACCTCTAACCTTTAAAACATATTAAAACAGTGAGTAGTCTTTGCCTCTGTAGGGCAACTTAGCGCCGGGCTCAGAAGTAATCTGCTTTCATGGTTTTTCCAGTGATGGCATAGCAACATGGAACTAGCCAACTCATGTCAACACAAGTTAAAAAGTGCCTTTGGCGGCTTCGTAGCATTAAGGTCATGGTATATGGACAGTCTGAGGCAATGGAAACGGGCTATATTGGATGGGACAGGCACAAAGTAGACAAAACCAACATGAACATCAAAAGAAATGTGCTATAGAAAATTGATAAGTAAATAAAACAGAAGTCACAAAATGCATGTTTATGCATTAATGAAAAAGAATCCCTCTACTGCTTTGCTTCAAACTTTTCCCACTGATTCTCTGCTACGCATAAATATTCTGTGGCCACAGAAATACTTGTCATGAATGGGTAAAGCCTGAACTGAATTTATTTAGCAGATTTAGTGTGTTTCAGTGAAGCTATTTTGTCTGTGTATGCTGTCAGTTCTTTGCTTTTTCTGTGGATGTATGATGTGTGTGGTCAACATGAATACATGTTTTTCCTGATAGAAACCTTAGTACATATGGAACTTTACTATGTGAATACTGATGTGAGTTTAAAATGGTGATCAGAAACTGTAATTTGTCATTTTCATAAGTGATTAAACACATCTGCTCACAAACTTACCCAAGGTTGCATCTAGTGTCCGCATTAAAAGACAAATAAGACAATTAAATGTCATTTACTGTATACTCCATTGTTACAAACACATGAACGCTAGCATAATGTACCCCCTCACTAAAATAACAGGATGAAACAGATTTCAGCATATTCTTTATACCTATTCTCATAACACATTGAGGGTTTCATTCCAATGTGAAGCATAAATCATTTGAAAAAAAATAAAAATAACAGATCCCTTTATTGTAAAATGACAGCTGGCATGAAAGTAAAGGCTGATAAAGTTACTGTCACAGCCATAACTCATCCTGAGGCTGGTGCTTACAAAGTAGCCCTGCTTTGGAGGATAAAATATCTTTGTTTTTGAATGCTGCATGATGGATTTTGTGGTTTGGATACAAGTAATATATGATTTTGGGGGGGCATATAACCCCTTTGAATGAAACACTGTTTTGTGTTTTTATCAGTACTTATTTTTTATAAGATTTGAAGCAGCACCATCCTTAAAATTTACTAAAAGTCTGTTCACATTGGCAGCCTCGAGGAGAGTTCTTAAACTCTCATTTTTGAGTATTTTCTCATAGGAGAAAAAGTTCTGTCTGTCTGACTAAGTGTGTGTGTGTGTTCATGGCAGAGAATGACTGGGGAATACCAAGGGGACATATCAGACTACCAGCCTGCCCTTTCACACACACGCGCTTGCCCAAAACATACATTTCAGCTCAACTCGTCCCCTCCCTGCAACCTTCAATCCTCTGAGGAACACTCAAAACCTAAAACACATTGGTGACGCATGCACCACATTTTCCTTTGTGTGTGTGTAAACATAAATATAGAACAAAAGTGCTCTTATGGCACTGATTTGGTGTAGAATCCCCTTTCTCCTACTTCCCACAGACTTAGACACACACACACACACACACACACACAGAGGGGAAAAACTATGGGTTTCCTGATTTTTCCAAAGTGGCAGCATGGCATGGAAAAGGACAGCACGTGGCTTTCAACTAGGACATGGCACACACTTGCATGGCCCTCAGTGTCTGAGCCATGAAGCGTCTGGTGTGTGTTAATGTGCCCTGTGTGTGCGCAGCTGTTGTCAAACACTGATGACAAGCTGTGTGTGCGCACCCACCGGTGTGTGTTAGGGTGTGCTCACTCAAGCCCACAACTCCTGATTGAGACAGATGAAGGCTGTGGGTGGAGTATACATTCAAGATGCAGTATCAAACACACATATACAGCACGCAGCCTGCAGCGGTCTGCTCAGGGTGTCAGTATGGTTTGCAGCCTATTATTATGCCCTGCAGGGAAAGCCAGGCTAACCAAACAAGAAGGGCACTGCCAAGAACTCTGTAAGCAGAAAGAATGGATTTACATAAGAGCACTGAGCTGCTTTATAAATGATTTTTGTGGCTTTCTGTTTACTCATAAAGCCAATGTATCACCAAGAAATTGCTCCCAAACAGCTGACAGAGTGTAAATACCAGTGATAAGCTCCAGGAAGCCAGAGTTTACAGTATGAGCTGTGACACCCTCGACCTCACATGAGGGACAACTGCTAAAACAGTGTACACATAGACAGTGGACTATCATGAGCCTCCAAGACAGCTTCAAATACCACTGGCCACTATGGATTATGGTACATTGGGGCGTTACAAATGTTACTCAGGCTCTGAACCAACTAGAGCTGGTCGACATTTGCAGGTTTTGTCAACTCATTATGTGATATGCTGTCTACAAACTGCATTACTATGGGTTCATTTTTTAACCGTCCAAAGCCAAAAATCCATAAATCTCACTTGCATTTCCCAGTTACATTTGTTAGTTCATGTAAAGTCAGTTTAATGTATAAAGTGCATGGGACCGCAAGGGTGCAGAATGTTTAACCTTTACAGATTTAGCCAAATTTTGCCTGGATTCCAGCATCTTCATAGACATTGCATCCATAAAGAGGACTTCCACAAGCTATGCAGCTATGCAATATAAATGAATAAATTTTAGCATACAAATTCTATATAAACTATTCACATGGAAGAATAGCTACAAAAGGTAATAGCTCTTAAAGTGGCAATTAAAACTTTAGAATACCTTTTACCAGCCTTAATTTATGCTAAACTGATTTATTACCTTTTAACACTTTTTAAGTTCCTACAGACACCATGTGATTATAACAGCTTTACAAAGCTTTTCAACCATGATTAGCCCAGATCAAAACTAAACATATAGAAATCTGTTGAACTGCATATCACCAAAAATTTATAGAGCAGACGTTTGTTTTTGCCTGACATGTAGGAACTGTGAACTAAATGCCTCAGATAGAGTAAAGTATCACACACGAGGCAAACGGTGAACACATAAAACCCATGTCATCCAGAAGTGCATGGGCATATTTGGATGATGTGCTGTGAAGTGTTCAAATTCTGGAGGTGAACAGCAGCTTACATCAGTCTGTGGCTGAAATTAGCAGAACAAGAAAAACAGTGATTTAGTAATCTATTCTGACATCTTGTTTTTGGTCACAGTGTCATTATAAGGTCATAAATATGAGTTTCATAAAGCCTAAAAGAAAGAATGCTTCAAACTCACCTGGCATGAAGCCATTTAAATTGGTTTCTCTGGTTAGAAAGCAGCAAGGAGGGATTTATGGAACTAGAGGCAAAATACAAGTTGGACTTTAACCAAACTTGACTGGATTTTGGCAATGAGCTAGTTTTGATGGAGAATTAATCGAAGAAGGGTGGCGCAGTGCAACTATAATTTTCAAAGGGGTACACATTCATATAAAACATCACAAATAGAAAACATACACACAAAAACCATGTTAAATAAAGTGTCTTGACAGCTTATTTAAATGCAACTAGCTTATGCATGGAGTGAAAAATAAGAAAAGAGAGAGGCTGGTTTGATCTATGATAAGTATTAGCATCAAGCCTAGATGCTACAGATGAAATGTGACACACAGTGTTCATTTTCCATCTGAGCAATGCTAGATATCAAATATCTCAAATGGGCATTGGTGCCTCCAAGGTTTAAGAATCCATGATGCCACTGACAGACGATCTTCTTAAACAACTCAAACTAAATCTGACTGGTGCGCCTTGGAAGCCGCTCTACTGTGCACACACTCTGCTGCAGTAATCTGGTAATCATCAGACAAACATCCATGACCCGCTTGTTGGCCGTGACCCAGAGATTAAGAAGCCAGGATTTATAGCACACGAGAGAGTGAGTTTTCTCTTTCTGGTGCCATGAGATATTAGTCCTCCTCCTCTTTTTCCTCATTGTAGTCAAACTTTTTTTGTGATTCTTTTCCTTCTCCTTCTTTTAGTCATTTTCTCCCTTTCTCAGTTAACAATCCCTCCTTCTGCCTTTAGTAACTGTCTGCTTACACAGAGTGGTGGTATACAAGATCTATAGCAGCTCTGTTGATTTTGGCCCTGGCCAGACAGAAAATTGAGCCTTTAATTTGACTGGTTTCAATATCTGACCCTTAATAAAACAAATATCTTTGTTTAAAAAGAAAGAAATCACCCCCACTTACTGTCGAGTGAGGATGGAGAGAGCACTGTTTGATGCGTGTATTTGTGTGCACAGCCTGGAATAGGTCAAGCTAAGTCTTCAAATTGACCTGGCTTACATAAATAAAATAGACAAATGTAACGAGGAGCGTGGTCTCCCGTTCAAATCCGGTATCAGATTTCCTCTGTAACCGCACAGCTCTGTGTGTCGCTCTGTAAAATCCTGATTTCTGGAGTAGAATGTATTTTCCTGACAAGAGATCAAAGAAGCAAAATGCAAAAAGATTCTTGCTGCACCCCAGGTTGA